AAAAGCAGAACAGAAAAAAAAACTTTAATGTTATCTACAGCAAAAGGATATATAAACTTTTGTTAACCTGAATCTAGTGGCCACATTACTCATAGGCATATTCTGAGGTCCAGCCATCAGGTGAAGCCACATCGGTGACTGTAAATACAATAAACGTGACAGAAAAAAAAAAGATATCTAACCCATTTTTGTCTCTATGTCATGTTTAAACGACATTTATGAACACAGCAGGATGCACAAACAGACAAACAGATAAACTGAGATAAACTGTTTAACAACACAGCTTTCTTGAGAAATAGACAAATAAAAACTTCCAATGAGAGAGACATTTCATCACAAATTATATAAATTTTAAGATTGCCTTAATGGGCATCCTTTTGAGATAAGAGTTAATAGAATGATTTTTAAGATATAGAAAAAAAAGACATTTAGTGTGTTTTTAAGGTTTTGTAGTTCAGATTGTAGTTTCTGGAAGAAGAATGTTGGTAAGCGCCGCTGCGGAAGTGCTCTGTCTAGTGGCAGCCTGTTGCCTGTTTGGGGAGGGAGGGTGTTAGGGAAGAAAAAGGGATCCCCTGGGGAACAAAAGCAAAGCCAGCTGTGCCCGCCAGTTTGAACTTCCTGGAGGATTTTGGGAGAACACGATGGTCCCCGGTATCCAGCAAGCAGTGCTGCTTGGAGAGTTGTAACAACTGAGTTGCTGCTGGCCTCTTTTACATGTCTGTACCATCCCGTGCCCGCCTGTGCCGGAGCTCCTGCCACAGGGCAGCAGCCGTGGGATGTGAGGAGGGGACTGACATTAACGGGAGCAGGAACCATCTGCAGCTGGCTGGGTAGACTCCTCCGGGTAGACTGCACAGGTCCCACCCCCAGGCCCTACTCAACGTGAGATGAGCACATTTAGCCACGCATGACCGCCTGCAGCTGTGTGCGGTGGAGACAAAAAGCTCCTGCCCCTCGTGGAGGCTGTCTACAAGGGGTGGCTGTCTACAAGGGGTGGGAGGGCTCAGTGTGGCTAAAGGCTCCTGCACCCACTCGCCCTGCAGGGTGGCCGGGAGACAGGCTCTGTCCCTGCACTCACATGGCCGCCAAGACAGGCTGTGTTCCCTGCCACATGCATGCTCCTGTGAAGAGCAGCTGGTGAGAGCAGAATTCCCCATTACAGAAAAGAGAAGAAACGCTGTCAGAGGTCTTCAATATTCCCGAGGCAATTTAGCCACCGGGGAATTGCAAGTCCTAACAAGCATAAACCTGTCCATAGATTTAAGAGATTGGCAACCACCCTAGTGGCATTTAATTGGCCATTGCATTACCAGATTTTATTTTTTTTTTATTTGAGAGAGAGAGAGAGATAAAGGTTTTTTTGCCCATGCCTGGTTGGGCTGTCATGGTTCAAAAACGGGGTGAAAAAATGTTTAATCAATTCCAGAGAATTGCCCTGGCCAAGACGCCTCAATTGTCCTCAAACCATATTTGGTCCCATGCAAAGGTGAAAACCAGAGGTAGAGCAAAGAAGACTGCTGATCCTCAAGTTGGGACAGCCAGGCTAAAAAGGCTACTTCTCTCAGGCAGGGGTTGCTCAGCAACTCTTACAAACACCATCTGTGGGCGTGTTCTTTCCCTCTCAGCCTGTGGGTGACCAGGGCAAGAGGGCAAGAGGCGGTAGTAGTGACAGAAAGCTTTGTAGCAGAGACAGCTCTCCAGGAGACAGACTTCAGTGAATCATCTCAACTTTATTCCAGCATATATAGCCCTAGGGAGCCTGGGGACAAACCCTTGTTTGCATTAAGTAGTGGGCTCCTATCATAAGGCTTTGTATGTGATAGTAGCAGATCACCATGTGGATCAACAGGGAAAGAACATTTGTAGGTATCTGTGTCAAGGGTCACTCTTGAGATAAGTCAAGCATCCTGGGCCTAGAGACCTCCTCCAGGTAAGGCTGGGTAGAGAGCAGGAAGCTTTCACTGAGGAGAAGAAGCCCTCCATGTTGCTGAGCTTACAGAAAGCTGCCAGGCTATGCAGACTGATCAGCAGGGGCTTCCAACGCTGGTGTCTCCAGATCTGGTGTCTGGGATCTGAGTGGGATCTCCAGAACTGTTGTGGAGTATTCACCAGAGAAGACTGCTCAGACATGGGTTTAAGCCAATAGAAGAAAGCCTTTACTAGCCGGCCAGCAACTACACTGGGTGTTCAGGATCCCAGTGTAACACGGAACTATTCTCAGGTGAGTTTTTAAGCATAAAAGCGTGTCCTGGGTTAGCATACTTCGATTAACAAGAACAGTTATCTAGAAGCAGAACCACAAAAGCTCAAATGCAAGGTCAGTACATTTTGTGACTTTCCTAGAACTATGGACCTTGATGGATTAGGTCTTTGTTTTTGTTTTGGCTGGTGGTGCTGTCTACATGCTGAGTTTTATAGCCTGGATGGCACTTCCATCATGGAATCGGTTGTGCTAAGGTCTGGGGCCCTGTTACATTCCCACTGGCCTTAGTGAATGAGTCCGAACCGTGGATTCAGATAATTGATCCTAAGGGCCATGTCTTAATTACGGTTTCTATTACTGTGAAGAGACACGATGACCACGGCAACTCTTCTAAGGAAAACATTTAATTGTGGTAGCTTGCTTGCCACCAGAGGTTTAGAGGTTTCAGTCCATTATCATCATGGCGGGGAGCATGGCAGCGTGCAGGTAGACGTGGTGCTGGAATAGTGGCCGAGAGTCCTACATCTTTTAGGCAAAAGTTGACTGATGTCATACTGAACAAAGCTGGAGCAAAGAGGACCTGAAAGCCCGCCCCCAAACTGATACACTTCCTCCAACAAGACCACACCAATCCCAACAAGGTCAGTTCTTTTAATAGTACCACTCCCTGTGAGATTATGGGGGCCAGTTATGTTCAAATTCCACAGGCCATTAATTTTACTGAATTGATATATAATTTGTAAGCTGCAGGAGCTCAATCAGAATGAGAATTAAAGTCCCAACCAGGATTGATACCAGAGTAGTTAGTTAGGAGGACAAGAGGATTAGAGACTAATACCAATGATCTGATTTATGTCTTTGTCTCTCTTTCTTTTTGAGTTTTTTTTCCAACCATGGCAATGTTTTTCTAATTACTCCTGATCAGTTAGCATGGAAACAATGGGTTTCTCCCAAAGCCATACATCATACCACACATCTCCCGAGAAATAAGTCCAAGCCTCTCCAATTTGGTGGGACCACTCTTTTGTGGGACCCACTTCTGTGAGGGAATCTAGCTGTTGTTCTAATTCAGAAACAGAAACTTTTGCTCCCTCTAGGTCCTGATCAACCTTTCTACTTAGTTTTTTAAGTTTTTATCGCTCATGATAAAGGCTGATGTATGTATGGCTGACACTGGCTCCAACTAGGCCTGAAATGAGAACAGGCCAAGTTCTTTTATAATAATCCAGAATCCATATTAAAATGTACTTTTCTCCCCCTTCTCCTTTATATAGGTATACCTAGGGCAGAATGTGTGCTAAGATGCATGAAAAGGGTTTCTCGGTTGGAAAGCATCAGAAGAGGCACATTTAGTCCACCCATTAGTACACACCCACCAAGTAATCTCAGAGGCCCAGTAATATTGCTGTTGCCCAGATGGGTTAACCCATAAGGCAGAATAGCAGGCATCAGAATAAGGCTAAGTGCCTAGGGTAAAAGTTTTGGATGTTAGACAAGTTTCAGCCCCTCCTAAGTCCGCTAACGTTAATTTGAACTGTCCTCACTCACAGTGAGTTTCATCAGCCAATGGGCTGACAGTCTGGTTCGTTTCTACCCCTATGTAGTACAGGGGCTGAGGGGTTAAGCATAACCAGCAATCCTGGCCAACTTCTGGCTGGGAATGATTAACTAAGTGGTGAACCTTGTCAAGAGTAAAAAAACAGGAGTCTGGATCCCTCAGCTTCTAGGATATCAAGAGGTAGTTAAGTAGTTACTGGATGTGTTAAGTACTTTGGAGGGAAAATTGGTCGAGACCTTAGCATGGGTTGGACCTTGAGGGCTGGTTTAAATCTACCTCTAGGCTCCCTTTCTGTGATACAGAGTCTGATTCTTCAGGTTTTTCCTATTTCCTTTGGCCAGATTTTTTTTTTAATTTTCCAGGAAGCTTCTGTTTCACAACCCCAGTTTTGGCAATGGAAATTCCCTTGTTCTTGGCAACCAGGAGGGCCTGCTGCAAGGCATGCAGAAAATTGCAAACTTTGTATTTTTATCTCAAAAAAAAATCAATTCTCGTATCTTTCCTTTTTCTAGTACAACCGGACATTTAAAGTGGGCATCAGTGAGCAAAGATCAAGATGGAATATAGATTGTTGGTCTGTAGTTATGCTAACTATAATTTCCCTGTCTTCCTCAGTTTCCAGGTCTGGACTTGAGAGTGGTGGGGATTGAACCATGATCCTATTATACTTATATCCACAGGGCAAAGCATAAGGCTCAGCAGGAGGCACAAGGGCATGAAGTGGAAGGGTCCACGGCCTGATGGAACATTAATTTTAATGTTTAGAGACAGCCCATTTGGCAGTGGTAGCTATAGCTCCTGCCTTATTGACTTGGGTGTGATGACTCCGTGGTGTGATGCCAGTTACCTTCATGGCTCTAGGAGCGAAGAGAATCACTATGTGGGGTCCTTTCCAAGTTGGTTCCAGCACCACTTTGGCCACCTGCTTGACCCAGACAGTATTACCAAACTCAAACAAGAGCAAACCGGTTGTAGATTCAAAGGTCAGCTGTTTCTCTCAGTTAGTCTGATGGATACCTTTATGGTGGGCTAAAGGGTCTGTAGTGACTTGAGAAAGGAATGGTTAGAGAGTTCTACCAACTTCTGGGTTCTGAGCTTGAGAAGCGGGGGGGGGGGATGATGTAGGTGGGTCTTCTATCTATCTGTTGCTTTCATTGGTTAATTAATAAAGAAACTGCTTGGCCCGATAGGTCAGAACATAGGTAGGCAGAGTAGACAGAACAGAATGCTGGGAAGAAGGGAAGTGAGGCAGACGCCATGCTTCTCCTGCCCAAGATGGACATGGGTTATTTCAGATAAAGCTAGCTGTTAGCCGGGCAGCGGCAACACAGCCCGCCACTCCTTTTGCAACAGGGGGAGATCTTCCAGAATAGCCTCATAGGGGGTAAATCCCTGTCTACACAGGGTGCAGGGGGCAGCAGGCCCAAAGTGAAACAAGGGGTAGGAGGTCTATCTCACCGTTCATCAAACTCTAATGAGTTTTAGTAAAGTTCGTCCTAACCCATCCTTTCTACCTACCCAGTGCACAATAAAGTTTTCAATCTATGTCTAAGTTTTAGGTATTAATTAAGAGATCTTGGCTATGAACGCCAGGCCATTGTTGGACCCCATTGCTAAGGGAAGGGGCACAATTCAGGGGGCCAGTTTCTGGTAAAGCTTTTAAGCTAATATATAAGCAGTTTCGGTCTGGGTGGAGAACTGCCCACTGGTGGAGAATTGGGTGGAGGCTGCCCGTGTGTACAGTGGTGGACTTTCCTTTTCCCCGGCTGAGAGCCTGGGTCAGGGCGATCAGTTCTGCTTTCTGGATGGAGATACGTATGACCTGGTCCCCAGTCCTTTCAGCTGAAGTAACTACTGCAGCTCCTGCATTCCTGGTTTTATCTTTCCTCTTGTGACAGTCATGAATAAGCCCCTGCCAGTTGTCATCAGGCCAGAAGGCAGCAGAGGTGACAGTGGTGGGTTTCTCAAACTGGACTTGAGAATGGTCCAAAAGTAGAGTCTGATTCTGGGTCACATACAGCCAGCATTCTGGTGTTCCTCAGAGGAGTATCTCTGGCCGGGGGCTCTAAGTATAAGATCATGAGGTCTAAGTACAATAGCATGAAGTGCTGGAAGTATAAGATCCTGACCCAGAGTTAACTGCTTGTTTGTTTCGCTAAACTAGTAGCAGCCACCAAAGCTCTTAGGCAGGTGGGCTCTCCAATGGGAGTCTAATCATTTGAACAGGAATGCCACAATGTGTGTCCATGGCCCCAAAGTTTGAGTTAAAAAATCCCTATTGCCTTTTGTTTTGTGGATGAAAAGTTTTGAGACATCTGGAAGAGGTGGGAAGCAAAACTGCTTTTAAAGCCTCAAATAACCTTTGTTTAGTCTCAGTCTAGATTAGGGACTCAGTACCCACACCCCACACCCATATACACCATGTGCTGTGTATATAGGCAGGCCTTGCTGTTTCTACAAACTCTGTTATCCAGAGCCAGCAATACCTCATCACACCTAGGAACTCTTGAACCTGTCTCTTGGTCTTCGGAGTTGGGACCTTAAGGATAGCTACCCTACAGTGAGACAGGTTTGGCAGCCTCTGATGTCCAACGCTGGACTGTCTTAGCCGATATCCTCCAGGAAATTCCTGCAACAGTCGCTCATTGGCCTTCTTACCAGCTATTTTAGTTTTGAGGATTAGGAGAAGGTCATCTCCATAAGGTAAGAGTGTGGTCCCAGGAAACTTCTGATGGAAGAGCAAGAAGTCAACATTTAGTGTCTCATCACACATGATTGGAGAATTCTTAGATCATGGAGGCAACCTGGTTCTGGAATGTTGCCTGCTGAAACCTCCCTCTGGGTCTGTTCATTTCAAAGCAAAGATGGGTTGACTCACCTATGCCAATGGGAGGCTGAAGAATACATCTTTCATGTCCAAGACGGTGTACACCTGTTTCTCTGGAAGAATCAGACTCATGAGAATCAGAGGTCCCAAGTTTCTTCATAGGCAGGAGATGGGTCTTCCAGGGTGACTGGCCTGGCACCAGTTTACCTGTCTCTCCAAGCCAGGGAATATGGATTGCAATTTCCCTTTTTGTTTCCAGGGTCATGGGTATTGTTTGATCGGAATGGGGGAACTGGCTAGTTGAACAGTTACAGAAACTTGGTGTTGGACGAGTCCCGCACACATGTGGTACACTGACATACACGCAGGCAAAACCCCCGAGTCCATACAGATTAAAAAAATAAAAAAAGAAAGACTTGAAATGCCACCCCATGCTTGTAAATGCTTCGATATTATTATGAGCATCATACCTGCCTGCTTGTTGTTTGCTGTGCTGACGGGAAACTGATGTGTGACTAAATAAGAAGCTCAGTTGTTTGGAGTATTAATTGCTGTGCTTCGGTATCGTTGAGTTTGGCTGTAATTATCTATATTTTACTTTATATGTTTGAAAATGTCATTTATAAAAGAGGTCCCTAGGCTCCATTAGACAACCAAAGAGGGCCCTGTTTCGGAACAAATAAGACTAAGGACCTTTATGCTCCAAGATATTCCCATCATATGGTACAATCAAAACAAGGCTGCTGCTGAAGCTGTGTGCCGTAGTTTAGCACAAAGAAAGGCTGGAAGAGACAAGTCATGTTGCCCTAGTTATAGTCACTTAGGAGAACGAATATTTTGGCTGTGCACAAGCACACTAGAGACCAGGAATTGTAGTGTGACTGGGATGCCATATGCCAGACCTAAGTTTGCATCACTAGTGATAGGAGAGACGACCTCTCCAGGCTGCACATGGGTGCTATAGTGACTGAGGAGGACCAGACTCTAGGAGCAGAGTCAAGAAGAAAGACCGTGTTTCTGATAGCTGACATCATTCACATGGACGGGGAGAGGAATTGGCAGGCAGTGACAACAGAGAACTGGCTAACAGGACAGGCTGACCTTGGCAATTCCTATGAGCAGGGCAAACTCAGATCTATTCATTTCTGGGATGTAAATGTATCCACAGTGGAAGGGTCTCAGCTAAGAAGCAATGTATACAGTGTTGCTTATAGGCTAGCATACCGCAGGTTAAGCACACCTCTGCCCTTGAGCATTCCCAATGGAGACAGCCTGGGGACATTTGGATAGGCAGAGCTCAAGGTAAGGTAAGCTAGTGAGATATCTCCTAGGAATACATGCGGTCACCCAGCTCTAAGCCTCTAAAGAACTGTGGTCTGTAGTTACTTCTATTATGTGAGGAATCTGCTCTAGAATGTCCATTGACATCATCGAGGAACGTCACAAAGGGGCATCCTGCAGCGTACACTGGCAAAGTATGCTTGTAAGACGAAAGGGATCTCAGAGGGAAGAAAACCCAGTATTTAAGCTCAAGATTGAACAAAGTTTTCTGGATTTAGCGTAGAGCATGGTGGGTACTGGAAGGTGTCCATCCAGGTGGGATGAAGGCAAGAGGCCATGGACAATGATGGGGACACACGGAAGAAGAAGGCATATTCTAAGGCTGACAGGGATGTGGCATTTCTACTTCTGGCATCTAACGTTCATAAACAGTTTTTTCATTGGCCTTGTTAACATACTTCATCTTCTGAACACATATAGGATAAATATTTGATATTTATTTTTACATTCACAAATAAGCAAAATAAGCATAAATTTAATGAAACACTGGTTGGAAATCTGGAAGTCGTAAAATTGTAATGATTTTTTTTCAGGACTGGTAAAATTCTGTCTGTGTATACTACTTTCTAGGTAGAAGAGCGCAAGTCAGAACAAATGTAAGTCAAGCGTTAAGAAATTTGTCCAATCGGGCATGGTGGCACATGCCTTTAATCCCAGCACTTGGAAGGCAGAGGCAGATGAGTCTGTGAGTTCCAGGACAGCCAGGGCTATTACACAGAGAACCCCTGTCTTGAAAAACAAACAAAACAAAACAAAACCAAAAAATTCACCTGAAAGTTAGAAAACCTAGGTGAGTCTTAGGGTGGGGAGGCCTTTGACTGACATGTTGCCTTACCAGACATGCTCTTATACTTTCTTAAAAAGCACAAATTTAAGTGGGAAAAAATTTTGGGAGTCGCTTTTTTTTTTTTTTGGACTCATTCCACAAGCATTATGCTTGTCCGTACACAATGGGTACAAGTCTTACAATGAGGAGGCAGAGCTGACTCCAAGGCTTTATTAATTGGCAGGTTTTGGTTTTCAGGAAGTAGTTTAATATCAACTGGACAGTACAATGAACGACACAGATGAAATCAGCTGTGTTCTCTTCTCTTCCGAATTCATTCATTTCCTCTCCACACCATCCAGACACAGAATTCAATCCTTCTAGAAGTTCCTTCAAGCACCGTGTTTCCATAATTGGCAAGTCACAGCTTGATCACTAGACCGTGATTTAGGATGAGCTGCAACCGACCATCGCATCTTGCTTAAAACATCTAGCTCTAACGTGACTTTTTTCTCTAGACTCTGTTACTGAAGTCACCGTCTATACCCCAAGCAGCCAAGTTCAGCCACCCATCCTTGAGACGTCAATGCAAACAGTCAAAAGAATAGCAATAAGCTTCAGAGGGAGATGCAGAGATATTGAAAAGAGGGGCAGAGACATCCAGTGGCCACACAGATATCAATCGTCAAGGTCGTAAAGTAAAACAGAGTGTTATGGGCATGCATACTACAGTCAAGTCAAGGTGTGGCCCTGCCCACCATTGACACGTCATTGTTGTCGCTGTAAGACTGTGTCTTTTTTAGGGAGAAGAGCCCTACTGCTCCTACTGTCCCAGGCTTTTCTTCTCATGGCATAAGAATTTCCAACTTCTTAAGGTCTGTTGCTTTCCTAGTCTGATAGCTTAAGTGTCTCTTTAGAATATAATCATTTCTTCAAAGTCTATTATCTTTGGATTTCTGCTTTTGCTCTGTACCAATAAGATGCAAATGGAATCTTTTTAGAACCTATCGGGTTAATTCACCCATCCAAAAGCTTTTCAGACAGCCCAAAAAAATATTAATAAGAAACAGAGAGGAGAGGAATATGCACATTGCATCTGGTGAGTATTGTTTTCGTTCTCCAAGAAATGGGCGTGATCAGAAGGAGTGGGTAGCCGTTACTATTGGTTAGTTCCCTCTGCTTCCGTCCTTTACCCCCTCAACACCCCCTTCTCCCTCTTCTCTTTCCCTTTCCTCAAGCATTACATAACCTTGCTGAATTTGTCTTTTATACAGAGTAATTTAGACTCCTTCCCCCAAAAGAATTCCCACTTCAAGATTCATACTTGGTGCTCAGCAAAACAAGAATCACGACGGGATCAAGTTTATTTAAAGGTATCTTGTAGATTACTTTTGTAACATACGCATAATCTTAGGGTCCCATCAGTTAGCTTCGGTTTCACCCCTCCCCCCACCATGCTGCAAAGAACCTGCTGGCTGATTAAGTTTTCTGCTTCTCATTGAGACTGTGGTGAGGGAAAGTAGGGTGTTTCTGTAGGAGACGAACAGGGAGAGTGCATACAGTGAGCCTCTGGCTTCCATTCCAGGAGCCAGGAGAAGCAGGACCCTTCAAACCAAAGTCTGAGTAGGAAACAGTTGGCAGGGTAGGAAAGGAGCTGTTTATTAAGACAGAAGAACAAGCAAGACGGCTCGTGGCAGACGGTCAAGCCTCAAAAACACAAGTCACAGGGCGACAGTAGAGTGCAGACGGACCCCCTCCTCACCTCGAGGCCTTCTCTTGTGCTCTTTCCTAGGGAACGGACCATGTTCTCAAACATACTGTGTAAGAAAATGCTGCTAATGTTCATGTCCGTTTTAGTAATTACCTGGATAATCCATGAAATTTCTCAAAATCCCACAAAGGTAGGAACGCAATCTCCCACTTTGACCAGAAGCTGCTACCTGTGTGAGCTATCTCCTGCTACCTGTGTGAGCTATCTCCTCAGCTCCTTTCACAAGTCTCCCGTTCCCACTCAGCTCCCTTCTCCTCTCATCTATTTACGGGGTGTCAGAGGGTGACGACACTGACTGTCACTACTTCTTCATTTTTCGTTCATCCTTACGGCCTTTTAACCTGTCTTGTCCCTCTCTCGGGCACCCGAAATGGCTCTTGGTCAGGCCACCAACTGCCATATCACTAAATAACGACTTGTCACTGAATCTGGGTGTGTATGCTTAGTTTTCTAAGCCCAGTCTGCTACTACCTTTACCCATGCGGCGGCTATTTTTAGTAACCAATATGCCTTATAGTTTTTCAATATTAAGTGATAATTAGGAAAGGCTTACCACTAGAAATTTATTTAGGAATTCAGCCATGTTTTGTCATGTTTTTCCTCATAGCATTCCTGTATTTAAATATCAGGTACATGTAATCCCATCACACAGAAGACAGAAATAGGAAGATTGTGAGTCTGAGGCCAGCCTGAACTGTATAACAAAATCCTTGTCGCAAAAATAAAAAACATTGACAACTGCAATTTCAATCATTTAAGTTAAAGCATAATGAGGATTTTGTCTTTAATTCACTAAATCATAAATTATATTGATATATTTTCCCTTCTGGATCCATGTTTAGACATATTTATATAAATATTATATAAAAATGTATATATATATGAATATATATAAATGCAAATAGCATTTTGGAGAGAAAGAATTTAAAAGCCATGTTCACGGGTTGGAGAAGTCTTTACCTTCCCTATATTATACTAATCAAGTTTTAGTATCATAAATGTATCATAAAACCAACTGGACAGTTTTCCTCATTATGTATGTTAGCAATAACTGAACCAGTGGAGAAGCGTTCAGCCATCTGTCCAGTGGGAGAGCAGCAAAGAGTAGCTACTGACTACAAGGTGCGTAGGCTAGGGAAGAGCGAACTCACCTCCGCCAACCTCTTACTCCCCGAGCTCTTGTTTTCAAATTAACGTTTCTGTAAAACTCCTTGTGAGTGAAAATGGCTGGGAGCAGGTCGGTTTTTACAGAGCCTTACCCGCCTTGTCGTTTCAGCTTTGGTCTGTTCTGAACACAAGCATCCCCCTCCGTTCCTGGAACACCTCCATGAAGTCCTTGTGTCCTGAAATGCGGGTGAATCAGTCAAGGTTACCAACAGAGACTAACCTGAGACAGGAGACCCCTAAAATGACAGCACCGGTCAAGTCACCAACAGAGAAAGAGCTGAGAATCAGGGCGATCCTGGAGAAGCTAGATCAGCAGATCCCTCCCAGACCTTTCACCCACCTCAACACCACCACCAGCGCCACACACAGCACAACCACCATCCTCAACCCTCGAGACACATACTGCACGGGGGACAAACTGGATGTGCTGCTGGAAGCTAGGGACTACCTGGGACACAGGAAGGAGTATGGTGGGGACTTCCTGAGGGCCAGGATATCCTCCCCAGCCCTGAAGGCTGGAGCTTCCGGAAAGGTGACAGACTTCAACAATGGCACCTACCTGGTCAGCTTCACTCTGTTCTGGGAGGGCCCGGTGGCCCTGTCTATTCTTCTCATGCATCCCAGTGAAGGAGTGTCGGCCCTCTGGAGGGCCCGGAACCAAGGCTATGACAGAATTGCCTTCAAGGGTAAATTTGTTAATGGCACCTCCCAGGTCTTAGTTGAATGTGGCCTGACCCTAAACTCAAGCACTAAACTCTGCAAATACCTGTACAGTGGCGGTGAAGAAGTCTTCTACTGTATGAAGCCTCAACACATGCCCTGTGAGGCCCTGACCCATGTGTGCACCAAGCAGCAAGGTGTTTCTTTTCTTACTGTCAAAGAGAAAGCTCTTTTCCAGAAGTGAGTATATTCTCAGTACAATGAGATGTTCCCCCAGGCAGAGCTATCCTGCCCACCTCAATACTGAGCAAGACCTCAGATGCTTCCACCATTCAGGATTCTGGTAAGACCTATGTTGTCTTTACTGGGCCCCCTATTCATGCCACAGTTTCCCTTCCTATTGATATGCTCAGTAAAAGGAGCTGCCCAATAAAAGGGAACCAAATGAAGTATATACCTCTGCTTCTCTGCGACAGCCAGCACTGACCTGTATCGATCGTGTTATTTTATTATAGAGCTGGGTTTAACAAAATATCTGCCATGTGAAACTGTTCTACTGTGGCTCATAGTTGTCCCAGCTCCCCCCAAATGATGCCTTGATAGCATCATGATCCTCCACCTCCTTCATCTCATCTCGTACAGTTTGCTTCTTTAAATCTTTTGTTCATCCACTTATCTCCTTGTCTTGCGTTACCGTGCCAGTTCAGACAGCTCTGTAGATAACTCACCTCACCTTCCCTAGAGTGACAGTTAGCGGGTGGGACTCTCCTGCCTTTCTCAGCCTCTCTCTCTCTCTCCCTTCCTTCCTTCCTTTCCCTCCCTTCCTCCCTCCCTCCTACTTCTCCTCCTTTGCGTACCTTAGCAGACTTTTTCATTTATTCGGCCAATGTAATCTCCCGTTGTTCACAAACAGACACTTAACTTCCTGACCTCCTTGCTCTCCATGGAGATGGAACACGCCTCATTGCCAAAAATAAACCATCATGGTTTCTTCTTGAAGACTTGCAAAGGTGACTGTCGCCACACACCTCAGAACAGTGACACCAAGCCCTGAGACACCATTTCATCTGGAATCCTTTTCTGTTTACAATTAGGCAAAATCTACAGCCTCCCCACACAGCCCCCTTCCCCTACTGCAGCCTACTTTGCAGCAGACACACACACACACACACACACACACACACACGTGCACGCGCACATTTCTTTTTCCTTTGCTTTGCAATAAAGTAAAATGCTTGCTCTCAGCTACTCCTTTCCTAGTTTTCAAAGTCAAGTTTAGAATCTTTTTCTCCTTAAGCTTTCAAACACAAATGATTGGTGGAAGTAAGAGTAAACACCAAACATGGAAAAATAACACACTGCAGAATCTTGCCTAGGCATCCAAACTTGAGCTCTTGGTGTGCAGTCCCCTGCACCCCTTCTGAGTGAGTGAGAACACAGCTGGGTTTCTATTCCTTCCCTTTTATTCCTGAGTATACAACTCACCCATCTTTTCCTAACCACTAACTACCCTTTGTCTACAGCAGGCAACTAATCCACGCACCAAACTGAACTCTACTTTCTACCAATTGCTGAGATAGGAATTAAGGACGCAGAGAGGTCGAAAAGATGCCCTACCTTCCTTCAGATGACTTTCACCCGTCATAAAACAAGTCTTTGGGGTTAAAAAATAAATTCAAAGTGAACTAGCAGAAAACATGGCTAAAAATAGAAGCAGGGGCTGTGGTAAGAGGTCTATGTGGTACCATAGGAGGTACCATAGGAGGTACCATAGGAGTCTGAACTCCTTTACTGAGGAGTTCAGACTCCTCAGTAAAGGATGGGAGAGTGACTTTAAATGATAGCACGTGAGCATCTGCAGGGAGAAGATGCTGAGTCCGTTGTATTGAAAAATCTAGGTGGTCTTAAGCTGACACGGGGAGGCTCATTGTGATTGAAGGGCAAGATTATATGAGCTTGAGTAGATGATGCGGAAGCAAATCTTTAAAAATGCAGATTTTATGGTTATTTTTTTAAAATCTAAAGCTTCTAGACATACACTGATGGCGTGTGACAAATAGCTCCAGTGCTCACCAGAACTCTCAGCAGGGTGGAAAGTCTTCCCACCTGCTTCATTAATAATACCTCAGAGACCTTTGAAATAATAGTTTCAGCCATATTATCAGAAGTTCAAAATGGATGCTTGCTTCGCTAACAAGCAGGTGATCCATGTTGCCTGTGTGCAACGACAGACAACAGGCTAATTTGTCATTTTGTTTTTTGAAGGTCCAACATAGGAGTAGAAATGATGAAGAGCCCTAACTTTATTAGAGTCTCCCGATGCAACAGTAAGTATCTTCTACCCTGTGCTCACTGCTTCTGTTTCTTTTCTAGTCTCTCGTTTTTTGAGATAGGATCTAACTGTACAGACCAGGCTAACCTCAAACTCACAGAGGTCTGCCTGCCTCTGCCTCCTGAGTGCTAAGGCTAGAGGTGTGCTCCACCATACCCAGCGCTAGGGACTTCTTGATGTTTGTCTCTTGCAGGGGAAAGGTTTTTCAGTATTAATTGTAATTTTCTAAATTACAATTCCTAATAAGTATCCATGATACCTGACAGGCTGGATGTTACAGATCAAAACCAATTCAAAGAAATTATTTAATATTCTTTTGATAGCTTACATTGCCTATGCCTAGATTCATCCCAGTATTTCAGATATCAACACTAGCCATTCATACTTTCACCTAGGAAGTCATATCCTAGTGCCCTAGCTACTGTGCAGATGTCTGGATGGATAATGGTAGCTTCAGCCTCCGAGATTTAGTTTCTTATATTTTCAATTGTGAGTCTAGCCATTAATGACTGAACCATCTCTCCAGCCAATGTAGATTTAGTTCCTAAATCTCCATTAGCATTGTCTCTAACATTTAACTGTACCACTTACCAAATTTATATGGTATTTTGATGTTATTAAATGTTCAATGGCAAAACAAAGCAACATTACATAGGAAAGAATATCTACACTGCCTAATCTCCAGAGCATCTTCCCCCAAAGCCCACTTTAGCTTATCAATAACACCCATATACTTGGCAACATGTCAGGATTTATTGCCAATATTCATTCATTTGTTCAATAAATACTTATTGAGGGTCTTGTAGATAATGAGGCACTGTGGGAAAATGGAGAAAAATAAAGGCTTAGAAAGCTGGTGTTATAAAAACCGTTCAGCCTATTGACTCTATGAAGAAGCCATACGCAGAACTTCCTTTCCAGTGAGTATTTGGCTAACCCCAGAAAGATACCTGCAGTCTGGAAATGAGGGGAAAATAGAAAAATAAATCTCATCAAGACCATAGGGGAGTTGACAGATGTCAGTAATAAACATGCATGGAATCGGTTAAATTTGAGTAACTCAAATTGCCTCTGTAGCTGTTAGTTGAGATGGAGGAGGAGGACCACCCTGTGATGCACTCTTTAATGAAGTGCCCTTCGTCAGAGTGGTTGAGTTCAGTGTGTCATCCTGCACTTTTCCACCAATAGCTTTCGATCAGATAAACTCCAGTAATGAGCAAAATTGTCATGAGCAAGTTTAATAGGCCAGTCTGGTAGACATATTGTAGAATATAACCAAGGATTAGGCTAGAAACAGCAAGAGTCTAAATTGCTGTCAACCTTAGACATCATGTTAGAGAGTTCAGTGGCATTTTTCTGGTAGAGTTTTAAAGTCACAGTCCAAAAGGGGAAGGAAGTGCTTCAAAGAGTGATGCTCATTCACAACAGAAGAACTGAGCGTGACCTAGAGGAGGATGCTCATAGATGTCACCAAGGGACATGATGTATGTAAATAAAAGAAAATGTGCTGCTTCCAGGCTGTCTTTGGATTTCTATTGCTGGGAAGAGACATCATGACCATGGCAACTCTTATCAAGGAAAACATTGAATTGGGTGGCTTATAGTTCAGAGGTTTGGTCCATTATTGTCATGATGGGGCGTGGTGTCATGCAGGCAGACATGGTGCCAGAGAAGGAGCTGCGAGTTCTACATCTTGATCTGTAGGCAGCAGAAGGAGATTGTCACACTGAGCATGGCTTGAGCACATATGAGACCTCAAAGCCTGACCCCACAATGGCACACTTCTTCCAACAAAGCCACACCTCCTAATAGTGCCACGCCCCATGGACCAAGCATTCAAACACATGAGTCTATGGGGGCCATTCTATTCAAACCATCACTTAACTGCCTTCAGTCAAGGCACATCTGACTACATGTCTTCCTGGCTCACAGGAAGAGTGTTGTTGCACATTCTGCAGTTTCTAGAGGCTACCCACATTCCTTGTAGCCTACCCTCAGTCTCCAGAGCTACAACCATGTCAAATATCCGTGCTACGTCTCTCTTGTCCATCCTGTTGCCTCCATCTTCAACTTCTCACCCAGATAACAAAACAATCTTTATCACAAGCCCAAATAGTCAGTTATATCTAGAAAATTTCTTCTGCCATAGAAAGCAACATAGTCACAAGTTTGAAGAATTTTTTTTTGGTGGTAGCAAACACCTTTATTTTTTTATTTCATTGATTTTTATTGAGCTCTACATTTTTCTCTGCTCCCTTCCCTGCCTCTCCCCTCCCCTTCAACCCTCTCCCAAGGTCGTCATGCTCCCAGTTTACTCAGGAGATCTTGTCTTTTTCTACTTTCTACTTCCCATGCAGATTAGATCCATGTATGTCTCTCTTAGGGTCCTCATTGTTGTCTAGGTTCTCTAGGATTGTGATTTGTAGGCTGGTTTTCTTTGCTTTATGTTTAAAAACCACTTATGAGTGAGTACGTGTGATAATTGTCTTTCTGGGTCTGGGTTACCTCACTCAAAATGATGTTTTCTAATTCTACCCATTTGCCTGCAAAATTCAAGATGTTGTTATTTTTTTCTGCTGTGTAGATTTAAGGTCTGGAAATTTTCAGGAACAATGCATTGCAGTCATTACTACACCTTCTACAATCTCTAAAGTAATTAGAAAGATGATAGTATTGCATATTATTGGCCACGTAATGCCCAAAATATCAGAATTAATAGTGAAATAAATGTGGAGGAGTTAATGTAAGAAAACAGTGCCCCAAGGGGTGGCACATACCTTTAATCCCAGCACTCGAGGCAGAGGCAGGAGGATTTCTGTAAGCTCGAGGCCAGCCTGGTCTACAGGGTGAGTTCCAGGACAGCCAGGGCTACACAGAGAAACCCCATCTTGAAAATCAAAGTCAGACAGTGGTGGAGCACGGCTTTAATTCCAGCATTTGGGAGGCAGAGACAAGCATATCTCAGTAAGTTCAAGGCCAGCTTGATCTACAAAGCAAGTTCCAGAGCAACCAGGATTGTTACACAGAGAAACCCTGTCTTGAAAAAAAAACAAGCAAACAAATAAATAAAAACCAAAACATAAAAAGAAAACAATGTCCTGGCATACAAGTTTATACATGACATGTTTTATAGAAAACTTGCAGGGTTTGTCTGTTTATAGTGGGTTATCATCCAAATAAATTTATAGATTATCTTATCAGTGCATTCTCAAAGCAGAAAATATTTAGTGATGATGGGCCTGAAGGTTCCATACTCAGTGTTCGACTGCTCACTGTGCCATACTGTCAAGTCTTCTAGAAGTCCAACTGTGCCACAGCAAAATGGGAACATAATTAATGGAATTAAAAGAAATTCCATTTGGCAACTAAATTACTAGAATTTGAGGGTTTATTTTAAGTGTATTTTCTAATTCTGCCACCAGCACCATGTTGTTACTTTGTCCATAGGTTACAAATAATAGCTGCCCCTGGGGCACTGATTTCAGGACCCACTTTGGATACCTAAATATGTAGATGTTCAAATTCCTTACATGAAATGGCCTATCATTTGCATATAACCTTATAACCTATGCACAACTTCTTACGGACTTTAGAGTACTCTAGAGTATTCCTAACACCTGCTGCAGTGCAAATGCTGAGTAAGTAACCATAATCCAGTGCTGTGGAGGGAGCACTGATGAGGAAGGAAAAGTATTTACGTGTTCAGTACAGATGAATGTTTTTCCTGAATACCTTTCATGCATGATTGTTTCAGCCCATGGATACAGCGCCTATGGATACGGCAGGCCAAGCAGGGACCAGCAAGATGGCTTAGCAGAGAAAGACATTTGTCACCAACCCTAGCCACAGGAGTTTGATGCCTAGGATCAATACAGTAGAAGGAAAGAATTGACCCTTGCTTGTTGTCCACTGACCTCCAGAGGCATAGCACATTGTGGCACACATGCACGCACGCACACACGCACACACACACAAACACAACTAAATAAATGGAAATTTTTCAATGCCGCAGAGGGCTAACCATACAGTCCAACCATTTGATAATGCTCTGTTTTGAGGACACAGTCAATCAAAAACTACAAGGACCTTGAAGGAAGTAGTCCATGAGCACAGCAATGCAGAGAGATGACAAGTCCCTAAAATCTACTGCTTTCACCTTGTTTGGTAACTTATTCCAGTCCAGCCCATGGGCAACTTTCTAATGGACACCGAGCTCCACGGCTAAACTTTTTCTAAGAGTGTGAATAGAAGTGATACGTGAAAACTCTAGGCCCTGTGTTTAAAAAGCCAGTTTCCTTCCTCTGCTAGTTCTCTCCTTCTTCCTGACTGAACAGACACTAAAATAAAGCCCCTCTGGCCTGGGATGGTGCTGTATCAGAAAGAACAGAACAGCGAGATAAAAGGAACTGTGGTCCCCAACACTATACATCATTATCCCAGACCTGCTCACTTGGACCTGGTCCATGAAGAGGAAAGCATGTAAATCATGCTTGCTGACCTTTCTTATAGCTTTCCTATCTGACACAAGAAGGGGTATTAGTGCAAGGGTGTTGAAGGGACAAAACCTAGGCTATGAGAGAAGTATGTACCTGGTACCTGGGTGCTACGATGCTTGACTGCCATACATGATGCCCTAGGATCCATGCCTAGCACTAGAACACACACACACACACACACACACACACGATATGTATGTAATATATATATAATATCTTAATTATATATTTAAGATATATATAATTTATAATATAATATAATTTATATAATATAAATATATATAAATATTATATATAATATAAATATATAATATATATAATTTATAATATATATTTAAGATTATATAATATCTTAATTATATATATTACATATGTATAATATATATATATATAATCGTGTGTGTGTGTGTGTGTGTGTGTGTGTAGTATACCAGCATGGAGAGAATGGCAAAGGAAGCATGATGTAAACAGCCAAGCTCTGTTATGATAAAACTCCAAGTGCCCTGCCTCTAGGATGCCCAGGAAGGCAGACCATGACAGAGCTGTCATGGAAGAGGGACTGGAGAAAGCAGCTCAGATTATTGTTAGTTCATGTGAGGTGCAACTCACCACTTTTAGCAAAGCCCTACTAAGACACCGCTGAGCTGGGCATTTCATCCTAAAGAGCTTAAAGGGAATCCTGCTACTCAGTTTGAGTTGCAAGCCTTTGTTAATTAACCTTGTTCTTTCCCTGAAGAAACAGAGGTAAGGGTAAGATCTGCTGGTGAGGATGCCAGCTGGCGGGCTACTGCAACACTACTCAGGTGAGAGACACTGTCACCCAAGAGCCAATGGGAAAGGCAAAGAAAGGAAAAAATATCTCTCTGAGCTCATGAGCAGATTTAGAAGAAAACGAACAGAGAGGCGTTGAGATGACCCAAAACCATTCAAAAGACTGAGCAAGGGGAGCAAAGGAATTTTCAGAGCATAGTATTTTTTTACTGCTTGTTTGTAAGAATAAATAATTTTTGCTATTTTTTTTTATTATTACAAAAAAATAAGAGGATCCTGGTATGTTGGCACACATCTTTAATCCCAGCACTCAGGAGCAAAGGAAGGCAGGCAGGTCTCTGTGTTCAAAGCTAGGCTGGTCTACAGAGTGAGCTCCAGGCCAGTAAAGGCTACGTAGTGAGACCCCTGCCTGAACAAGAGAGAGAGAGAGAGAGAGAGAGAGAGAGAGAGAGAGAGAGAGAGAGAGAGAGAGAGAGAATGAGTTGGGATGCCTAAAACATAACTAATAATCAAAAATAAAGTAACAGTGAAAAAAAGTTTAAGTAGTTAGAAAAAGAAAAAGACAAAGAAAGAGGGAGGGGAACCAAGGGGGGAGACTGGCTGCTTGAGTCATGCCATCAAAACCGCTGTCCCCAATATCTGTTACCAGAGAGTGAAGAAAACAGGGGCAAGAAATGCCAGATCGGAACGGAGATCCCCACACCTAGCGGTTACACTTTCCAAGGAAGATGGGTAACGGCCCAGTGCAAGCAGAGTCTGCTGAACTCCAGTCAGATAAATGACTGCTTGAGAAGGAAACTCATTTACTTCCTGGGAGACTCGACGCTGCGCCAATGGATCGAATACTTTCCCAAAGTTGCAAAAAGTATGTAATTGTTTTTATATTCTTTCAGGAATCAAAGCACCTTACAGAGTTTTGAGTGTGGTCTCCTTCCTCTCTGACAAGCTTTTTTTTTTTTTTAAATCTTATTTTACCTTCTAGGTTTGAATCTTTAAATATATATTTTACTCTCCCACTCAAAAATGTTGCCCTTTTGGCACTTATTCGTCATTATCTTCTAGTGAAAGCTCCTTTCTGTTTTCTGGCAGAGCTGAAGCCTTTTGATCTTCATGGGACTGGACAATACAAGAAGCATGTGCTCCTGGATGCCGAAGGGCACACTCTGGTTGAATGGAAGAAGCACAGCCATCCTTTCATCACGGTCAATCTCTACTCTGTGATAGATGACGGTTATATTCCTCAGGAAATTGACCGCTTGCCAGGTGACAAAGATACTGCCATCGCCATCACCGTGGGCCAGCACTTCAGACCCTTTCCCATGGAACTTTTCATCCGGAGAGCCATCAATATCCGAAACGCTATTGAACGACTCTTCCTCAGAGCCCCCGACACTAAAGTCATCATTAAGACAGAGAATATCAGGGAGATGTACATAGATACGGAGAAATTCGGAGACTTCCATGGTTATATCCAGTATCTAACTATGAAGGACATTTTCAAAGACCTTCATGTGGGTATCATTGATGCCTGGGACATGACCATAGCATGTCACAGTAATATTCTCCACCCACCTGAGCAAGTGATTGGGAATCAGATTGCCATGTTTTTAAACTATATTTGCTAAAGCTCCGTCCCTTGGAGCCAGTATCCACTGACCGTGCCGTGTGATTCATCGGTAAAGATTTATTCAATTTAGGATCTAAGAAAACTCAAATTTAAAAGAATCTGTCTTGGAATAGTGATGCAGCTCAGCTGAAAGAGTGCTTGCTTAGCATGCATGAAGCCCTGGGTTCTGCTGTTGGCACCACACAAGCAGGGGCACTGTGGCACATGCTCGTAATTTCAGCACTCAGGAGGACAGAAGTTCAAGGTTGTCCTTAATTACCTAGTCAGATCAAGGGGGTGGGGGCTGAGCTACGGGGAAAGTTTCCTTGATTAAAAACAGGAGTCATGGTCTCGAAAGAATACAAACTTAAGAACAATGACTCCAAAGAAGGGATATTAAGCCAAGAAAACTAGGCGTGAAGGACAATCCCAGAATACACTACGTTTATCTCCTTGTTAATAAATACCTTTATTCTTTTTTTTTCTTTTTAGATTTATTTATTAAGTATACAGTGGTCTGCCTGCACGTATGCCCGCAGGCCATAAGAGGGCACCAGATCTCATTTCAGGTGGTTGTGAACCACCATGTGATTGCTGGGAATTGAACTCAGGACCTTTGGAAGAGCAGGCAATGCTCTTAACCACTGAGCCATCTCTCCAGTCCAATACCTTTATTCTTTAAATATAGTTTGAGTCATGATTTCTGTTACTCTTGGCTGAACCAAGTGATAGGGCGGTTAAAGGGAGCAGACATGTCCCTTTATGTCCTGAGATTTTTTTTTTTTTAAATCACCTTCTTTTTCTGCAAAAGAACAGAGAGTAAGTATTTTAGGTTTGGGGGACTATGGCATCTCTTACCACTGTGTGCTTCTGCCACCAAAGCACAAAACAAGACAAACATGTAAGCAAATACAAATGTTTGTGTTAAAAAAAAAAAATAACCTAGTAATGAACACTAAAAATTGGTTTGGGGGGGTGAGGTTTCGAGGCAGGGTTTCTCTGTGTAACAGTGCTGGTTGTTCTGAAACTCCGTTCATAGGCCAGATTGGCCTCGAACTCACAGAGATCTGCCTGCCTCTGCCTTTCCCCAACTATTTTTTAAAAATCAGAAACCATTTTTAGACCATAAGAACTAAAATAAATAAATAAACAAAATTGAACACAGGGAGCCATGTTCAGCCTGTAGGTTCACGCTTTAAAGACACCTTATTTGAAACAAACAACAACAATATGGGTAGAATTGAATAGAACAAATCCTCAAAGGCTAAAGGGGAAACCAGTGCCAAACTGAAAATAGGAGAAATCTTCAGGCACTGAAAAAAAAAATCACTCAGAAAACCCTAAGAAGTGTTACTGAATGAAACACAGCAAACATTTCTTAGGATGTTGGTGCCGTTTTTCCCGGAGAGACACGAAGAAAGATATGATTCCACACAAATCTACTGACTATACACCTAAGTTTGGGGGTTTATTTAAGGGATCATAGATGGTTTTTCTATCCAGTGCTGGAAAGCCCGAGACCTTGAACATCCTGGACACTGTCTTCTACCACCAAGCAGCAGCCCTAGTCCATTCTTTAGGCTGGAAATAGGAGACTGGCTTTGGGGTGTGCTCCTCAATAAGGAATCAAGCTATGGAATCCAGCTGAGAAAAACATGTCTGCTGGTATTCCTCCCGTATTACAACAAGTTCAAGGCCAGCCCCGTCTATAAAGTGGGTTCCAGGATAGCGTGGGCAGAGGAGGACAAACAGAAGTCTTAGTCCTAAATTAGTTGGTCATTTTCTCAGAAAAATAAGAGTCAAAAGAGAAAATTTCAGGTGGTAACCTAACAAGAGTTCAACACACAAAATTTGATATTTTTATCCCTGTAGAAACAGATGATCAGATGATTTGACTTAAATTGTATGGTATCTGCATAGAAATTATGCATACCTTCTAGTATATTAAGTCATAGGCATTTAGTACTTTTTGACCTGTGGTAAATTATCTTTTAAATATTTATTGTGGTGAAACATATTGTGCAAATATGTGCAAAACTTAGAAATTAAGGCAAATTTTTAAAAACCATTTGCCTGAGTAATTCAGTGGTTAGGAATAAATGCAAAGTGAGATGCAGATGATTTGGGTACACATTATTCCTGTATAGAAGGATTAGACAAACCTATATTTCAAATGCAGTTCCAGTCAAAGTCTGAATAGACTCTGTGTGTGTGTGTGTGAAATCATTCTAAATTTTCTTAGGGAATTCAGGGACCCCCCCCCCCAAAAAAATTAGGTATTGTTGAAAAAAATAATAGGGTTAAAAAAGTTCCTTTCCAAGATTTGTTTTAAAGCTATCAAATTCTGCCAATATGACAGAATAGAAGGGCGGGGACAGCCCTGACATAGAGTCACTTATGCATGATAAACAGGGTACTGGTGAGCAATGAGGAAGACTGTTTTCTGATTTAGAAGTCCAGGTAAGATGCTGGGGAGAGATCTGTCAGTAAACAGCTTGCTATGCAAGCATGAGAACCTGAATTCGAATCTTCAGAACCCACATCAAAATCCAGATGCAGCAGTGCACATCTGTAATCCCAGTACTAAAGAAGAGGAGACGGAGATCCCTGGAGTTCACTGGCCAGCCAACCTAACAAAATCAGTGATCTACAGAGAGACTCCTACCTCAAAAAATAAGATGGAGAGAGATTGAGGAAGATACCTGATGTAGACTTCCGGCCTCCACATGTACCCTCACACACATGTATACACACACACACACACACACACACACACACACACACACACCCTGCATGCATCCATAAATAAACTCCTAGAAATGAATAAATAAAAGTTCTGGGAAAGCAGGACATAAGAAAGTTTCCTACATTATACTATTCTCCAGAAATAAAATAAATTTCAGGGGGGATAAAGCTGTAATTATGAAAAACAAAGCAGAGAAGCTTACTCAGTTCTGTCTCGTCCCATGTGTGGCAAAGAGCTGCCTTTTTAAAAATACATAATTGTTCAAGAATCTAAGTTTCACCCCACTGCACATGGCAGCTATACAACTCCAGTCACTGTGACTCTCCACATGACCCTGACAGCATCCAAACCATCTGTCTCACCCTGCCATGCCACAGCAATGCACATGTTGGTCCCGAAATCTTCAAGGACTGGCAAACATCAGTCGACAAAGTCACACAGGTCCTTGAACAACAAGAAACAATTCTCAGATGGTTAAAGACAAAATAGTCTAGTATCTCAGTGACCTTAAAGCACTTAGATTTGGTCCCCAAAAGGGAAAATACTGATTGGTTTGAGTATATTAAATTTGGAACTGCTTATTAAAAAGAACAAAACATAGCTGGAAGTGGTGGTGCATGCCTGTAATCCCAGCACTCAGGAGATAGAGGCAGGTGGATCTCTGTGAGCTCAAGGTCAGCCTGGGCTACAGAGTGAGCTCCAGGACAGCCAGGGCTACATGGAGAGACCCTGTCTCAAGAAAGCAAAAAAAAGGAGCAGGAGAAGGACACTAAACTGGAAAGGATGAGGAGAGATTTGTAGATCACAAAATAGAGGACTTGCTTTCTATTTCCAGACTTTCAACACGAAATTCAGATTGTTAAATTGGTGTGCATAGCTTTAATAAAGTATGTGGCCTCCAGAAAAACTACAAGCAACCAGAAGATAAATGACAAGTGGGGCGGGAGGTCCTTGTAACTTACATCCTTAAAAATAAGCAAATATACCTGCCATTTATTAATCTCTTAAGAAGTAAAAAGAAATAGATCCAGAGAGAAAAATTAGCCATACAGTAAATGTGTGTTTTTGCCCTGTATGTGTGTAATTCAGAAATTAAAATGGCCTTTTCGCACAGAAAAAGAAATACATTTTTTTTAAAAAAAAAAAAAAGAAATGCACATTAAAGTTGAGTTGAGAGATTTCTCATCTATCAGACTGGCAGAAATCCAGGTCTGAATATACACTGTGCTGATGGGCCTGTGGAGAAGCTGGCGCTTTCAAGCATTGCTGATGGAAACACAGAACGGCGTGGTGCCTGTGGAGGGAATTTGGGGAACATGAAGAAAAATTACATATGTATTTGTTTACCTATTGTCCCAGCATTTGGAAAGCTACTAGAAAAAAAACACAAAATGACTATGTGCAAGATTATCCATCGGAGCGTGATTAGTGATTGCAAAAAATGGGAAAACGAATCAAACGTGCATCTGATAGAGGACCAGTGAAACGAATTATGATGCATCTTTCAGAACAATACAGTGCAGCATAAAAAGAGAATAGGAAACTCTATAAACTAACAATGAAACCTCCAGGATAAGCAAGGGAAAGAATGTTGCAATGTGAACTGTGCAACCTCGTGGGTAATAAAAATGGAAGGACACGATTAAATATATTTGTTTATACTAAGAACAAGAAACCAGTGGAAAATAAGCAAGAGATGGATAAAATGTAGTTTGCAAACACTTGGAGAATTTGTGGCTAGAAATAAGACTCCTTTAGTGCACACTGGTACACAGTTTTCATTGTGAATCACATGACATATAGTCAATAAATTCAATCAAGAAAATTTTAAAGAAAATTCATTCTGAATCACATAATTTACATAGTCAATAACTTCAATCAAGAAATTTTTTTTAAAAAAAAAGAAGACTGGTTTGATATCTGACTCACATGATAGAGAATGAGAACCAACTTCCTTGAGTTCTGCTCTGATCTCCACCCATGCACCATGGTGCCTCCCGAACACACACACAATATGTAAAAATGTAATGCATTATTATTTTTAAAAGGAAAAACATAAATTTTGAAATATAAATGCAACCACTATTTAACCACACGCTTACACTCTAAAACATGTTTTCAGGGGCACTTGTGTTACACAAACATCAAAGCGTGCTTGGAGAAACCAAGGTTGCTATAGGTCAGTCCTTCAGCATGGCCTTTGTGCAAGGTGTTTCTTCATGAAACACCTGAGGCCAGTGTCAGTACAACACATGTTTTGCTTTATAAGAAACTGTATTTTTCATAACTGCAAGGAAACACTATCAAACGACAGCATATTAACTACACAAGCAAGAACATACTAAGTACTATCATCACGAGTTATATCTGTGCTTAACTGCTAGACTTTTGTAGAACCCGCAACAGAGTATGTTCATAAAGGGCATCCATCACCACAGATACAAAGAGTATCTGTGCGCAACAGTGCCAATATCAGCAGCAATAGGAAATTTTCGGCCCCTTTAGGAGCTTGTGGGACCACATTATGTGCCGTGTAATTATAAATCCAACACAGATTAGTGTGGCGACACAAAGCACTTCGTCTGTTTTGTCTTTGGGATTAACACATTTAAGAATGACATTTTGACAATACTTCCTCCAGGGAAATATATTTTCGGAATAACTAGAACTTGGAGCTAGAGCTCTTGGTCTAAGAGCACTTCTTGGTCTTTCAGAGGACTAGAATTCAGTTCCCAG